TTCTACGGTACATTAATAATATAATAATTTTGATAGAAAGTAACTAGTAATCCTACCTGTTAAATTACCATCAATGAATTATCATTTTGTTTATCTTTCTAATACCAAATCGCTTGGTACATTAAACAATAATTATTCTGCATCTAATTGTAATAATTTGATATATTTAATATTTATCGATATTTACCTTAATATTATAGTTGCCTGTAATAAGGACAACAATGATAATAGATACGGCAGTATTGTAGTAGGTACTGAAATGTACTTTTTTGCAAAATTGAACAAGTTGGTGAATTATTTTAACTTAATTAAGCAAAGTTTGAATAAAAATTCAATGAGATAAAATTTAATAATAATTAATAATTTATGAATAATTCAGTTCAGTTCTAAGTMTATTAATTACAATTAAATTAACTTATTATAGTTACATTTTTGTAGACATTTTGCGATAAATGTGTCTGAATAGTATTCTCAGAGAACTCGTTAAATAAAATAATAAAAACAAAAACAGTAATAAATTGGGATATCAATTCATTTATTTTCAAGGTTAAGATATTCTATACAAAAATAAAACTCATTTATAAATTGTTACTAAATATTATAATTATCGAAATAAATTGAAATTGCTTATATTATATATTTTTAAAACAACTATGGTCCAGTCTTATATTCATGCTGATACAATATATTTGTTTTATCGTTTTATTTTAATACTATCTACATATAACATTAATTCGAGACACTTGAACGATCGCGTAAAAAAGTGCAAGCCTAATCATWAATTGACAAAAAATAAGTTTTACTAACAGTATTTTATTACGATATACCTTATACCTAATAAAGTAATAACTTATAATATTGTAGACTCATATACTATAAAAGATCATAATGAAATTATAATATCATGATAACGATTACGGTGAGATACTAATAATTATACTGGCGAGTTAAGTGTAATATGATAAATAAATTATAGTGTTCTGGGGTAAAAATGGTTAAAAAAAGTTTAAAACATTAGATCCCAAGGATACAATTAAAATTAAAAATGTTTATTAAATTATTTATTTTTTATAATATTATTAACCCATCTGTTCCGTTGATTTGAGTTTGAAAACCAAATTAAATAAATGGTTATAATAATAATAATAATAATAATAATAATAATAATAATAATAATATCATCATTGGGGGTTACTTACAGTTACTACTCTAATATTGCTATAATTTGCAGTATAATAGTTATATACACCCAGGGTTGGTTAAGATACTAAAAAAAAGTATCATACCTAATACATAATACATACATTTAGTGTATCAAGATACAAGATACATGTGTCAAAGATATTTTGGAACATGATACATTTATACTTCCAATCGAATTTTATTGATTATTAAAATTAAAACGTCTATACATAATGCACTATACTGTCAATACATTAATACTTATAAAGTCATAATTATATTAAATAACACAATAAGTCAATACCTATGTACACATTATAAATTTATGACTAGGGCTGGGACTTCGATGCACTTTGCATTGTTTTTCAAAGCTTACTGTGCAATGCTCGTCTWGTCACAAATTTRTTTTATGTACATTTGAATGAGAATAAGAAAGTTTATTTTGCATTTKTTAGKTTTTAGGTCATTTTCTTAATTTTTTAGGGCATTTTAGAGTTTTTGGAGCATTTTTTGAGTTTTTGGAAACCAAGTGTATGAAACTTGAACGAAGTCCACGTCAATGAGATTAAGTCTATCCAACTATGTGTACAACTTTTTTTTTTAGATTCATACTAAAACTATGTATTTACAGTTAACACTTGTAATAGATTTTTATAATGTATTTTTTAAAACTTTTTATTGTAATTTACACTAAAATTATTAAAAATAAAAATTTTTGTAGATTTATTGCCCTTTTTTAGGGAATTTTTCGGGGTTTTTTAGGGAATTATTTAGTGTTTTTAGGTCATAAAATCATTTTTTTAGGACATTTTTCGGGGTTTTTTAGGGCATTAAAATCCCAGCCCTATTTATGACTAATACATGAATACATCTCTATATAATATAAATACACCAAAATTAATTAATTACATAACAATTACATCTTTATTTGTACTTGAATAATATCGTTCATTTATGTGAATAATTGGTTATGGTCTTATGAACTTATGAGTTCTGAGTTATCTGTATAACTATAGATAAGTATACCGTATATAGGCTACGGACACACGGGCACCTTAATATAATTTAATGCTCTTTATATTATTTTACAAGGTTTAAAATTGTCTAGTACATTTTTTTTGTKATCGTTAATTTCAATTTAAATGTACCTGGACAATGTTTCATAAAAATACTATCCGTGAAGATCTAATATCAAAAATCGATATGTCTTGATACTATATTATATATTCAGTACAAATTTTTACAACAGCAGCATCTTGTATCTTTTGGCAAAAAAAGATACAAGATATAAGATACAATTGCATCTTTGATAATGCCCAACCCTCTATAAACTTTTAGATATTTGATGAATAAATAGGTAATAATATAACTAAGAAATTCGAGTGGGTATAATATTACCTATTGAAATGTGTTTGCTGTCTATGTAACGTTTATAATATTCACGTAAACATGACGTATCCTAATAATAATAGGTATGTACAGTCAATAAAGACGACTATATATATAGGATAGTGTGGTAGCATAATAATAATATTATCATAATACCTCTATACACACGAAATATTTTGAGTTTGGTTGACTGGTTAAACGACTATACTACTGAAGTCGCGTCGCCTGCAGTTGTGCGATGAAATCGATTAAAAACAAATAAAATATCACGTCGTGCTTTTGTTATCATCGTATATAATAATATTGTTGTGCAAAAACAGTCTCCAAATTCACTAAGATCATCATAGGGACTGCAGAACAATCAATAGGATACTTAAAATATCCCTMCAAAAAAACACCAGTTCCGTAGTGGAACAATAAAATTAAACAATATATCTCTAAAAATAAAGCACTGAAACATTTATAAAAACCAGATYTCTCGAGGACCACATCAAATTAAAAGAACCCAGAACTAAAACAAGATTCTTGGTAAAAAGCAACAAAACCATAACATGGCGAAACTTTACCTCCAAAATAGATGCTCAGACTGATCYCCATATAATATGGAACAAAATCCCCTCATTAAAGGGACGGAAAAAACACAACAATATATCTCTCTCCGACAATTCATCTTTAAACACCGATCCATCTTCAATTGCTCACCTCCTTAGACAATAMTTCGAAAAAAACTCCAGCGATGAAACGTACAGCCACAACTTCTTAAGGAATAACGAAAACTTACCACTATCTCAAC